CGCAAATACCAATCAGTACAAATAGGAATCGAGTAAGAATCTTATTTGTACCAATATGTATTTGCGCAAATATTTGTGTGTTGTATTTTGCGCATTAGGGTGTTCCCCTGCGTTTTGTTTGATGTAAGCGACTATCAACCCATTCAAGGTCTTCTGAGGAACGATGTTAGACAAATTTTAATTATAATGTATTTTTTTAATCAAATTTAATTTTTTTTTCATTTATATTTTTTATTTGACCATACTGATTATTTCTAACTGCCACCTGCAAACTAACAAACGTATGTACATACATTCATTCATACATGTGTTTTTTTCTTAAGTAAATTAATTGTATTTTTTGGTGGAAAATATATATATATATCTACACACGTATGTGTTTATATTTATGTATGTATGTAGTATAAACTTACCTTAGCGGTTATCACTATCAGTGAAAATGTAAGGAAAGCGGCGGCCTTCATCGCGTTGCTTATGCCGGAGAGAAGATGGAGATTTTCGGAAATGTGAGCAATAAAAAGATTTAAGCGAGCTACTAAACTGAAGGTTTATCGTAACGACACTTTAAACGGCAAATAAATTGGATTACGGAAAGTCAGCAGCTGTTAAAATTTGGACATTCACTTGCTGCTGCACTTAACTTACAATCGCTTTGTTTTTTTTTTTATGTATTGTGAGTATTCTATAATTTTTCGTCGTAGCACGCGTCACAAAACGCTAAGAACTCTAAACTCTTACAACTTTTAAGTGCTCGAAAAATGATAGCGGCGGCTGGTGAACGAGTGCTTGTGCGACGGTCAAAGGATTTGCTGCTTGTAACACGAGCGAATGCCTATAACAGTATATAGTTACATATGTATGGTGTGATATACGCGAAATCTTTAGTAACTTTATTATTGAAAATTGACACCGATGTAAAAATTGACTTGGTACACGTGTATATATGTATGTAATTGTATATATGTATGTAGATGCCCCGATTGCCAATAACCCAATGCGTATGAACGTTCAAAAGTTCTTTCTTCGACTAATTGTCGTTAATGCTTCAAATTTGGAAGATAATCAAACTCTGATCAGAAGTATGTATGTACGTATGTGTGTACATACATATGTATGTGTCTATGCGCGTACATACAAATAAAGCGTCAATTCATTACAACGCGCAACCGAACTAGAACCAAAAAAACACTGGCTTAATGGATTTTGTTTCACTTTTTTGAATAAATAAAAACCGTTAGCAAACGTGGTTGTTTGAAAGTGCCGGTTGTGTTGGAAACTATTCCCCTTTTTAAACCACGACCGTTAACTACGCCAACCGTCCGTACAATGAATTTGTTATCAGCGCGACATATCCTTTTATAGCGACTTCGAGGATAACTCGGAGCCGATGATGTTGCCGAGGTCTGTGGTGTCGTCCGTTTTAAGTAGTCAGTTGTGTGGCAATTGAATGGAAGCAGCTTTCAACACTTGTTGCAGAAGTGGCATTACCGCTGAATCCCGCTGAGTACGTGTACAAATGTATGTACATATATGTATGTTTATTCACTCTTAAGTGAAATATGAATTGAAAAATCTAATTGAACAAAAAAAGATTTAATAAGCGATCTTGAAACTAAAGAATGACAATTTAGCTCCAATGACTTTTAAACCATTACACTATTTAAACATATGTAAATAGTTTTCTAACTAGCCGTATTTTTCCAAACTGACATTACTATTTGGCGCGTTTTAATGACTACTGTAACAAAGTTTGTATGTACATTTGTATGTTTGTATGTATACAATATGTAGTTAGTGAACTTTATTTCCTACTAAGAAAGTTGAAGCTTACTTTCTCTGGGAACAGTTGAAAAGCTTTTAAAACTTTGGTTTATAGCAAACTAAATGTGCTTTTAAAGCAAATCAAATGTGCTTTATTGCCCGTATTCAGGTATTCATAATTCAAACATAATTGCATCAAATCCTGAATAACTTTTATGTGTGATTTGATTCGTCGACCATATAAGTAGAGAATAAAATTCATTTGTTACATGATGTATACACTGAACCAAAAATCCATCTCTGGATCAAAAAACTTTCCTCACTTTAAGGTCGAAAATTCTTCCGAATGAGTAAAAAATTCTCCCGAATGCGTAATTTTTCTTTGGAATGTGTAAAAACGTACACGAAAATATGGAACCGTGGATGTAATCTATCATTTTGAAGAAATTTTGGGCATGAAAAGAGGATAAAACTTCTTTAGTGCTGTTTCGTTCCCATTTTTCTTCATTTTGATTGCTGTTTTTCTTCAATTAAGAGAATTTTTTTTTGGTTGTAGGGCGAATCGATTTGATTCGTAATTTTTCAACTAAATAATACTTTTTTATGCAACGCAAATATGATTTTCAAGTATTTTCGATCTTCCAGTTCTACGAAATATGGTGCGTGCCAAGTTTGTACGTTTGGAAATTGAATACGAAAAATATTAGCTACCTTTTCTATGTTATCGATATATTTACCATTATTGTTATCGATATATTTATCGATATATTAGCCATATATTCATATATATTATCGATATAGTTACATACTTATCAATATTAATGTCTACATATATATTTCTCAATATTGTTATCAACATATTTCTCAATATATTTAGTCTCGTAAAAATCAAAATAGCCCATAGAATCCTAATAATATCGAAGCTTAAAGTAAAGTATATAAATAAGTTTGTGAAAGGGGGCGTGGAACATCCCACAGACGTCAACTTTTAATCTGCTATAACTTAGGGATGATAAGTCACATGGCTTCGAAATTTGGTTTGAAGACATAACTAAAGTAGGCGCTTATAGTGAGGTAAATATAAATTAGTTTGTATAAGGCTGCGCGGCACATTTCACAGCCGTGAAATTTTACATTTGCACCCCTCACTTCCATGACTTGGAAGTCTTCTATGCTAAATGTATAAAAATGAGTTTATACAAGAGGGCGTGGCGTTTGTAGTAAACTGATAGAGACTGAGTGTTTATCAGGAGCGTGGCACCTCAAACAGATGTATTACATTCGGAGAACCATAACCTTGGACCCATTACGAACAGATAGCTAAACGGAATGTCCTGTTGTTAACTAAAAAGCAGAAGAGAGTTTCCAATAAGTCGTAGCATCTCCCATTGTGCATGCCCTATACGTTCAGAGAATATCAATTAAGAAACTAAAGTGGATTTCATTCTTATTTCGGTACCTTGATCCACCTAATGAACAAGATTCTATCAATCTTGTTTTATTAGGTGGATCAAGAAAATGATGACCAATATAATTGCAGCAAGCAATTTAATTCAATTAATTTAATTTAAAAGTCTCTCTGAGGCTTTACTTTGACATGTGATTATATGGCGGATACTCACGAGTGGGACGACCGGAGTGTATTTATGCTTATGTCTCCTTTAATTTATGGTAAACTAAAAATATTTCTTACTGTTTTATACTTTTATTTGTTTAACACCCAACGACGTCGGATGTTCTGCAAAACATGGTGCCGACAAAAGGCGCTGAAGTCGAGATATTTAGAGAATCGTAGAATATTTAATTGAGCCCTATCCTTTAAGTATGCATAAAAAGAAGCACAAAATTGTTTAAGCGCCACGGTTGTGCTACGCACATCAACGGGTCATCGGTATATCAAGAAGAAGTGTGACGAATTAGAAAGAACGCGATAGGAATATCAGTGACCCCGTTTGAATGGCTTTAATCCTGTGGAACAGCAGTATCATAGAAGATGATTCCGCAATGCCTTGTAATACTTGCAGATATCTCACGGGTGGAAATAAGAGATCATAGCACCGAAGGAGATTAGTACATATACCAGATTTTTTCTCAGTGCTTTTAATGAGTAAGGAAGGTCATTTCAGCCTAAACCAATAATTTTTACATTATAAGGCGTCCAAAGCAAGGCATTCGCTAGTTAACTCTACATTTACTGTATTTATTCCAGCGTAGCCACTTTCCAAATACATAAAGTGCTTGAAATTTACTGTAAAAAGATGCGCGAAAAACCAATTTTTCATAGTCTATTCTTTCAAATTATATTCCTAAAAGCTATGAAGAAAATATAAAACTCGGTTCTTAAAAAAAGTGCACTTGTTCAAGTGAGGCGGGATGTACACACCCTGTAGGGAAACGAACTAGTGCGGAACTGGTTCGGTTCTAGTGCGTTTGGAACCATAACTAGTACGCGTTAATTCTCTTTTGCATGCTAGCGACATTGCGATGTCCTAGGAAATGTCAATTGTGCCCCGTTGCATCCCTTTAGCTCTAATTCCAAACCAGTTATAAATTCGGTAGATGAGATCTAGTTCGTTCTGCACCCCTTTTTCTATAGTTCCGAACCAGTTCCAAATTCGACAGATGTGATCTAGTTTTTTTTATAACGACTTTCTGCTCTGCCAAAGCTGACATCAAAACGGAGATTTGATTGGTAAAATTGTTCTCCAAATAGCTAACGGATCATTATTTGTAATCGAAAAAATAAAAATCACATAGTAATTATTTCCGTTTGAGCGAAAAAATAAAACTCAATAATAATTCACAAAATAATGATTTAATGCTGATCTAAGTTATTGTACTCATAATGATTACCGTACCTGCTTTTAAAATTTAAAATAAAATAGTTTAGTGAATGTACCTCATTTCGCTGCTTTTGGACTTGTGCTGAACTAGTTACTATCGGACTGGTTCGTTTTTGGCGATAAAGAACTAGTACTGAACTAGAAATTTGGTTCACTAGTTCGTGTTTTCCCTACAGGGCATGTATTCCTTTCAAAATTATATAGTACGTAAACCCTTAATACATATGTACATTTGTCACAGTATCGTGAGTATATATGTATATATTTATTATATGTATGTATGTACCAACATATATATTGTAAAATTTTTCTAAAGCTCGTGTTATGTAATTACACAACTACATAAATATTTTCTATAACATTCACCCAGTACAAATTTCAACACAAAGGCATTCTTCATTTTTTTAGACCCAGCTCTTCAGTGACTGGTTGTGCTACAGTAAAACTGGCCACTTGCCTTGGATGGTGCGGTGCATCGCCTCGGTCGTAGTACCCGTAATGCTCGCCGGGCACATGGTAAAGACCATAATGTATACCGCTGTTGGCCACCTGTGGATTGAAAGAATGAGAAAACTACCATTCAAAATTGATTAAAATTTTAAATTACAGAAGAAGCAAACGCAAACAACAGAAGAAATACGATTTAAGAACTAAACAAAAATTTCACCTTCTTCAGTCCATTGATAGACGCCAATAGTAGAGCCATTTTCGCTAATAACAAAGCTTTTCCGCTCACAATGGAGAGCATTTGAAAACCCATAGGGACGAGCACAGCACCCAAAGCGGTGACGCCAAACATCATGGTGATCATCATGTTGTATCGTTGGCGGCGGTGGCGCGCGGTGCCCGGTTCTTCAGCGGCAAGCCTGTTATTATTTTCTATGAAACAAACACACATATAGAATATGCACTCATCTATGCCATTTTGGCTTCGTGCCACTTCAACGTACCGTCCCTTTCCAGAGCGCGCATGTACGCATCGGTGAGTTCCTTCAAGTTCACTTGCAGGAAATGTGTGCTAAGCGTGTGCGCCAATCGCATGGCAAGTCGATCGAACCAGGTCAGATGCTGCAGGTCCTTGCGATCATAGAATTCGCTGAAACTCTTTGACCGGCTAAAAACACAATGAAAAGTATTTGCAATGTCTGCATTTAACAACTTTTACTTCTCATTTGTTGCATTGCTTTGCACTGGCATCCGCACTAAGCGCACACCTGGCCACACGGGAATCACACTGGATGACAGGATATCGTCCAATATGCGCGCACTACTCTCCTTAAAGCAGTTCCATGTGGTGTCGCTCGTTTTCTAAACATTTATTTTCATTTTTATTTCTATTTCTATTTAAATCAATGCTGCAAGTTTACGCCACGTTCTTACCCCAATGCAATCCTTTGTATACTGTCTTAACAGCTTCATTTCCTGCACCCATGCAATTACTTCATTGTGTGCGCCAACAACGGGCAAATTCGGTTCGTCAGATTTCTGTGGGTTTTGCGAGTTATATTCAAGCGCCGCTCCACGGACACCCACCAAAGGCACAATCGCCAAAGAAAGTAGCACGCCGCACTTTATTAGCCTTTCACAAGGATACATTTCTTATTCGTCCTGTTCACGCTGCACAATTCGTATCCTTTGGTTTTCTAAATTTTTAATAATACTCGAAGAAGTAATCCGTCTATGCCTATGTTTGATTTCTGTTTTGGTATGAACTGCTACTAAATTATCCACTGAAAGCGCCTCTGCGTGATTGCACTAATATTTATATACACCGAAAAGCCCTTCTTGTGACAGCTGAGTGCCCACTTCAGAGCAGCAGCAGCAGCAGCTCAAGCCAGGCAACCTGGCCAACAATTGCTATAATTAATCGGCTCCGCTGCATTGAACAGTGAAATGTGGTTTCAATGGTGGGTTATTTTATTTTTGCTGTGCCATGCGGAATTGGTCGAATGCGTATATGGACTGAGCCAATAGTGACATAGGTATACATATACATACATACATACGAGTACATACATATATGCCCACCGGTAGCAAGTTTGGGAAACACTGTTTTGAACTTGACAATTGTCTGAGTAGCAGAAACATTTTGTTTTTTTTTAATTTCGACCTAATAAAGCAGCCAATGTATTTATGTAGCGGAAAATTGCCATACACACTGTATGACTGCTAAGTTGCTGACTTTGAAACCGAATGTGGTCGATTAGACACACCCCAAATCATAGACAATCAATTATGTGTCCAAATGAGAGAAGACGACCGCGGTATGCAATCTTCAGCCTCGTCTCTGAGAACTTCTTTTGTTGTAATTTTTCAAATTTTGCTTGTCCCCTTTTTGCCGAGGGCCTCAGCCAGACTGGCCTGAGCGGTAGAACCGGTAGCGTTATAACCAAACTTAAATTTCTACATATATCTGCGAGTAAAATAATAGCAGCAAAACTCAAAACGATGATGTTGGTAGCTTATGTTAATTATTTGTTGTTAATAATTTTCATTCAAAATATGGGTCAGAATCCAGGTAAATAGAAGTTGGAAAGCTTGCACAAAGATCAGAACAACTAATTAAATTAAAAAAAAATGTTTAATTAATTCGTACATATGTATGTATATTGCCTGCCGTTAGACGACCGCTATTAAAAACAAGTTTCTATGTTTAATTTTAACCACTACATCACATCGGCTACCAATTTTCTTATAGTCCCATTTCAGACACGTCAAGTCTTGCTTTCATGTCTGCTCGTTCGTTGGCGAAGGAGGTGGGAAGAGAGGGGCAGAGTACAGATACCTCCGTACCTTCAATTCGTTTCAAGTTTTCTTGTTCTCTTTTGATCTTTTCGTTGCTTCCCATTTAAAGATCCAAGGACTTGAATTCAATAAAACTTGACGCGTGTGGAAGCAATGAGAAAACACAAAAGAGAATGCGATAAAAATTGCTTTCAAGACTTGACGTGTCTGAAAGGGGACATACTCATTATAAACTAAAATTCTGGAGAAACTCTTTCCTCTTAGTTGGCGATGTAACTGCCTCAGCGATTTGGGCCGAGTTCAACAAAGCACGCCAGTCGTTTCTCTTCTATGCCAACTGACGCCATTTGGAAATGTCAACCCCTTATCCGCTTGGTCTACCACCAGCGGGTTCCGAGTGGAATACTTTCAGAGCTGGAGTGTTGGAGTCCATTCTGGAGAAATAGGGCTTGTTCGAGCTGCAATCACAACCGCAGTGTTGCGCGAATTATTAAAGTATCACGTTCTGTGTGGATTTATAGCAACGTATTATCAGTTGGGCAGTTGCAACAGGGTTGCAAATTTTCATCAGTACGGCAGTAATGCCGCTTTTATTGCGTACCTCGAACAGGCCCATACTATAGGCAAAACATGTACGCATCTGTCGTAAGTTCCATTCATTTCTATGGGGGCATAGCATGGTGGCCCACGTTGTAAAAAATCACACCTAGGAGCAAAATAGAAAGTGTACAAAAGTGCTCAATGCTAGAGCCGGTGAAACATCGATGCAACGATGTTTTTTTCGCAACATCGATATTTTTGCAAATTGCAACCCTACATTTCATAAGTTCATAAGTCAGCAAACATTTTAGTACTATTTAAAAGACTTTAAACCCTACCTCATTTATACATTTTTATTTTATATTTTTTTTTTATATCGAGCCCTCGAATACATATTTGGTTAAACTCAAATCTATTACTCTTGCGGCAGCAAATATCTTGAAGAGCCAAAAGCATTATAATTTATTATGTTTTAGTTAAATTAGAAAAAACCAAACTCTTTATTGTTACATATAAACATTTTTTATTTAGTAGAATTTATTTCCAAGCTAAAATTTACAAAGAGAAATGCTAAATATCCTAATTCTCAAATTTTGTTAGAAAATATTGATGTTTCATCGAAATATCTAATCGGCTCCATTAACCTGTATTCGATTTAATTGATTTAAAACCGGCACCTCTACAACATACCTACATACATATACATACATATATGTATATCATCATATCATCAATTATATAAATAGGCAATCATGTTTCCTTTACACCCC